CTGGAAGCCGTGGCACAAACCTGAAACAAATTCAAAACCAGAGTCTTGAAGTTCTCTGTAGTGTTTGCTGCGTTTTCTTCAGGTTGTTCTGGTACAAATTTCGGGGTTGTCTACAGTATAGCTTCAGGGTAACATGTCCGGACAAAATGTTCAACATACAAACAAATGCCCGTCTGGTCAAAGTCCTTTCTGTACAGTGAATGGCGCATACACCGGCCATCGGGTGCAACGGCAGACTATCTCTAACTTATCTAACTTTAGCATATAAGACAGGAGGATCAATTGCGCAAAACGACTCTCACGCCGGCAGCACTGCGCAAGTGAAACAAGAAGACGCACATGTACATTGTGGCCTCAATGTGATTGATTTTCGGCGGTATCTTTTCCGCGAATGTACCAGGAACATCTGGACTATGTGCAGCGGTCATGATTCCCTTGTCCCAATGTTATCCGACTTTATGTTCACGAAGATCAAGAACTTGTCTGGTCGTCGAGATGGTAATGGATCATCTGCCCAACTTGGCCACGCACATAGCACGCCTGGTGGAATTAGAGCCTTTAAAGCGGCACGAAACTACGGGTTTTGGTCTGATTTTACGCATGAATGGGTTAGCAGAAAACCCTGGAAAATGAATACTTCGTGTTGTCAGCACCCCTGCCGTTTCGTGGAACAACAGTCATTCAAATTTTGTAGGGTTCCTTGCCGCAGAAGCATGCCAGGGCATCTAACAAGCTCATCTTTCTCAGCCTTAGACACCCCACGAAGCTCATTGTGACAAGGATGATATGGAATGCAAGGCCCTTGCCAAGCTTTCCCGCGCGAAAACGCCTTCAGCAAAGCCCTGATCGCAGGTGAAGTGCCCCAATTCCACGACTTGGACAATGCGAGGGGTTGTCAGACCAAGTCGGAAGTTCCACTTCAAAAAGAGAACAGGGTGTGGAGAAAAGCATTTTCTGGGAGGCTTGGAGCTGAGACGATAACATGACTAATGAGTCGAGGAACATTGCTTTGCCAATAGGAATGCACCGATGCCTGCCGATCCTGGACACATCGAAACCCCACGAAAAAAGACCATGGTGACTTTCTGTCGCCACAGGCGTTGTTTTCATCGTCACCTGACTGAGTGAATTGCATGGCTTGCGCAGCATAGACAACACGCTCGATACGTCACAGCCCTGAAAATCTTACATACTCAGTCATGGCTTCAGCTACTACGGCTTGCAAATGCTTGCAATGTCCCATCGTCTTTGAGCATTGGCCTGGCAGCTCCTGGACACTCGCGTGTTGGCAAGCCCGTCCCTGTGGGAAATACCTACATGTTGGCACGGTGGCCCAAAAGGAGCTACCACGTTGACATGCAAATAGATTTCGACAGGCCACGCCTGCAGCTGTGTCAAGAAGAGGAAGTGAAAGACCCTGGATGGCCTCTTTCAAGTACCACTTCCGCTCGGGCTAGCGCAAAACCCCTAAATGGCATCTGTGACGGCCTCGTGTGCGTTCAGACTCGGAGGCCCTTCAAAAGCAACCAGGACTTGTGCCAAGCATCCCACACGAGCGGCATCCGCCATGCAAACATCATCAGCTTCACCTCACAGGCTTCACCCAGTAAAAGGACACTCACGCTTTACTTTCCAGACCTCTATCTTCGATCAAACAAGAAACCTGGACAATTCCAAAACCAGGCGTGACAACCTGCACGATTGATTGCAGGCATGCTACCTACTGGTAGATGCAGGCGTGCTAGTCTCTGTCAGAAAAGTGGCAAGATGGGCCAGCACCAGCCTTGGATGTGCGCAGCAGTTTCAGAGTTGCTTGCAAACCTTCTGACCTACTGGGCCCAACAATGCCTTTGCTCTTGGTAAGGCTTGGAAAATCAGAGCCAGGTGCAAGCTCAGGCCGAGGTCGCCTCCCAGCATGGCCGAGGCAGCCAAGGGCAAGAGCACCACCTTCTGGCAGACAACGTCCAACTTCCGCAATGCAGTAGTACACTGCATACACTTTAAAGCATACTTGACTCATGAAGGAGCTTATGTCTGAGCCACATCTCCAGCACCCAAGGGTCGCGAGTCCACAGCACCAGCAACGCCCAAAAGCAGACGGTCGAAAAAGGGGCAAAGCACGTAGAGGGCCCAGACCTCCCAATTTGCATCAAGCATTGAGATGATGAGATGCTTAGGTTGGGCATGTCTATCAGCTAGGCATAGCTGGGTTTTACAAAGGTGCAAGGCCTTTACTACTGTGTGTGAAGCCCAGGCACCTCAGCCCGTTTTGTCAATGACGAAATTATGCAAAGTGTACTTTCTGCTGCTTGCAGATGGTGCGCTACCTCCGGCATAAAAGATTCAGGGAAGACTGAAGGCTTGTGCATGACCCGGCACTAGGCAAAGTCTCAAGACCTTTAAGAATAATAGTGTCCGGAGACTCACTACTTCAGCGCCCGATCTTTGACAAGCAAACTAGCCTGCTTCTAGGCCCGTTTGTGGCCTGTGCATAAGCTTCCAGGGCACGCGGCTCCACCACTTCGTCTTCCATAGCTGCATACGATGCGCTGTAGCGGAATGTGAATTTTGATGGGGCAGGTCCTGCCCTGTACCTGCTGGTGTTTGTGGGGGCAGCGCCCACAATCCTGATTCACTAAGATCTAATCCAAGCCTGCCACATCCGGATTGCCATGCAATTGAAGACAGCATTATGCATGGTCGTTCCACAAGCCCATACGAAGAACTTATCTAAGAGTCTTACATGAAAGCCCTAGCCCTAGCTGCTGTACAAACGAAATGAAAGTGCCTGAAAACCTCCACAAAGAAGCCTTGAACATGAAGCTGCCTCACAAGGCTGGAATGCGGATGCCGATTTGAGCAGGGAAGCATATGCCGATGGTCGTATGCTGCGGATTAGGAACCGCCACTGTCCTACTTTCCCAGCACAAGTGGAAATAATTTGGCAAAATTAGCCTCAACAGTGGAACACATACTGAGACTGGAAGATCAGAGTTCGCTGAGGGTGTCCTTGAGGACCCCACCACTGCAACCCAAACCCATCACCCTCCAAGTCTTTGAACCTTCATCATGTTTGAACTGACACGCTGGAAGCCCCACGATGCATGTTGCCCACGCCAGTTTTGCCGCCAAGTTCGCGACAAAGTCTGAAAACGATCGGTGAAATATTGACATGCAGGACGTGAACACCCAATGTATCCGTATTGAGACAGTGTATCAGTCATATAAGACTTCAGATGTTACCGGAAAGGGGCTTTATTTATTCTTCTTCTTTAGTTATACTGCTTGCCTAGCTGTAGTTTCAGGGCATCACAAGCCTAAACGTGTTTGGTACCTATTCTTGCTGGTTGCGCAGGGAGCAAGCGACTCCTGCAAGCTCGATCAGCAGGTAAACAAGCCAGAGCTCACGTTCTAGTTTACAAAGTCCCAGTCGCCCTGAAACTGCTGAAACTTATCGACGCTCCAAGACTTGGCTGTCCCGACATCGCATCTGATTCCATGTTCAATTTTCAGAAGCAATTGAGCCTTCTGGGGCAGTGTAAAAAGATGTCAGTGCCCACCTGCGCTGCGCCAACAAAACAAGAAAATGGACTTGACGTTGTTGGGCCGCATGCCTTCCAGATGAACGGTATCGCAAAAGCATGAGGCCAATGACTGCAAGCAACGCTAAAGCAACAAAAAGAACACGTTCTGTGATGTCACGTGCGTCGTGTCGATGTGAAGTGGTTGAAGGCCGCAACCCAGGAGTCCATCTTGACCAAGTGCTGCCAACAAAGGGCAGCCAAAAGCTAGCCACACAGAGCTAAACGAGCGCACATTGCCAGCTGCAGGCGTGAAAGAATGCTCGAGCGATTCTCGCAAGCCGCTGTGGCCCGGTGGAGGGACAAGACGCAGGGATGCCTTGAACCAATCCGAACCTCCCCAAAACCAACCTGAAAGTGACCCTCTTTTCAGGGCAGGGCAGGGCAGGGCAGGGCGGGGCATGTCATGAGGCGTGGGCATGCTATGGCACACCGGGCCTCCAACGCGAAACACGTGCGGAGGAGTAAATCTTTGGACTGCCCCACGCAGGTGCATCTTCAAAGAGCCCGAGCTCGCCGCAAATGATTTAAGGGCTTAGTAATGTCCAGGGGTTGTGGAACGTTAGTGGGGTTTCGTGTGGGGGCGTTATCGGACTAACCGCCTTGCTGGTCCTTGTTCAACGAATGCCCGAATTAGGAAAGACTGCTCGATATTCGGCTTCTTGCTGCAGAGGGCCTTCAAAAGTCCTGAAGATGCCTGGCTATACTGGCGAACACATGCTTCATCCTGGTGGGACTCCGGGAAATCACTGGAAGTTTGTTGAACATGTGGCTGTGCGAATGCGCTGTCAATGTGGTAGGAATCGCCTGAGAGTTTGTCGATTTGCCCTCGTGCCACAACTGCAGGTTGTCGCGATCATTTTTCGCGAAACACTCAGCAGGAAACCCTTAAGCAAAGATCCGTTTGCTGATCAGTCTTCACAAGGCATACGCCGAGAATACACGCAAGGGGTTCTACTTCTATGCATCACCGCCTCGCAGTTAAATTTCTTGGCATGAATAGATAAAGTTGCGAGACGTTTCGCTTAAGCAGACCTTTTCCAGGCTCAAGGTTTACGCATTAAGGGGTGGCGGGTTGCGCTTTTTGTATGGCGTTGGTCTTCGGATAGCCGAGGGCGGTCTTCTAATGGAGTTCCTGGTGGGCCTATTGAGTGGGGTGGGTCTAGTGAAGCCTTAGGATGGGTCTAGTGCTGGTTTATTGGTGGATCTTTTGGCGGTTCTAGTGGGTCTTGATGTGATTTTGGTAGGCAGCAGCAGCAGCAGCAGCAGCAGCAGCAGCAGCAGCAGGGGTCTCGCTTTCGACTAGCAATGCTGACTAGCGAACATTATGAAGTACATTACTACTAGCGCGAGAACATGACAGGGAAGCCGTGCTATGGCACACCTAACCCTTTGGTCGAACAGTAGGTGTGGTACTCATCACTTTGGGCTGTCACCAGCCAAGAGGTCCCCAAGCCAGGTGAAAAGCTTCCGCTGCCAAGACCACTCCTGGGTTCTTCGCATGTTACGGGAGCATGCAGTTCAAGCAGCAAGCAGGTTTGGGGCGCGAGCCTCTCCAAGCCTTAAAACCTTTCAACCTCTGAACCGACCCCAAGACCAGGTTGCTTAATCCAAGACAATTGAGACTTGGTATCTGCATGCTGTGAGTTGAACGAAACAGAATCTCAAATCTGAACCTTCTAGGCTGCCCATTGCTCCAAGATTCGTATGGCTGGGCTTCGGGGAATGGGAAGCCCTTGCCAATCGCATACAGTGGCCCCAGCAGTCCTGGTCCCAAGCAGATGTTGATCGGATTACAGAGATCAACAACTTCGGATGCTTGCAAACAAGGGGATAATGCCTTGAGCATAATGTGTGCGTGGGATTGGGTGCGCTTGCACAGACAGGATTCAGATGACACACCGGCCAGCCTCCTCGGCCTCCGGTGTTGCCCTGACGGCGATCAATCACATAGCCTCCGCAAGCAGAGTTGGCTGCTCAAGATCACTCGTTGCTTTGGTTCTTCACCAAAGGATTGTGGCAAAAGGGTAGCCAGAAACCATGCGCAGTCCTTGGTTGCAAGTCTCGTGGGTCCTGCCTGGACATGTCTATGCTCAAGTCAGAGGCCCCTGGCATAGCATAAATTACACAGTGTAGGTGGAAAAGAACCAGAATTAGTAAGGTCAGTGACACTCACTAATCCCCAGACATCGTGAAATTGGTTAGAAGCCAGCTGCAGGGACTGGTCAGGGGGCTGTCTCCTGCCTGCGGTATACTCCACCACTTGTCCCTGCTCATTGAAGCGCAGAGAGCATGCCTGGCAATGTTGGCAAATGCTTGAGGTCTTTCCACTTCAACTCGCTGACCCCAAACCATGTCGGGTGTTAATTCAGACTTGTGAGCACGGTTTATCGGAAACAGCAGGTGACACTAGGTTGCAGGGAAAGTGCCAGCGTGAGGAGACAGTACAAATATTCCAAGGGCAGTTGGCAACCCGAACCTCGGCGGAATTTCAAATATGGCGACTTCCTTATGCACACCCAACAATCAAAAAGTTGCCCCCTTCCCTTGCAGGCACCTCTGGCGGGCTCTCGTAGGCCTGTGGTGGCACAACCGAATTGGATTTCTCGCTCCAACCAAGCTTTGATTTGACACAGAAAAAGATAGAGGAAGAAAAGGTAGAACCTGTTGCTCATGTACCATTTGCCAGACTGATCTCGGGAATATGAGGACGTTAGGCCATGGTTTAGTTGCTTGTTGCAAGACAAGAATGGTGCTGCTACGAGTATGCACAGGCAAGCGTGCTGTCCCGCTTGCGCTTCTTTGAATCACTGCAAAGTGCGAGAAGCTCTTTCTTATGCTCAGGGCTCGGTCGCATCAACATTGCTGTCAGGTCTTGCAGGCGCAGTCTCAAGGATTGACAGGAGCTTCTGGAATCATGTCGTGGAAACTTACGTCTGTGTCAGCTTGGTCGGACCAGCAGAATCGGTGTGCTACAGTACTTACTTAATTTTGGAAGCATCTGGTTGCATGGATGCCAAGTTGCTTCACTCCGAGCTTCCGTCCCTGAAAGACTCTAGCTTGCTTTCAAACACTAAATGGCCTTGTTGGTTGCCTCGGAGATGAGAGGTGGCACAGCTCCCAAGTTCCTTGGCAAATATGTAATTAACAGCTTCGTGGTGCACATGCACGTCATGATGATCCACTTCAGGAGCGAGGCTTTTAACTGAGGAAGTGGGTCTGCGATTCTTGGAGAGCGGTCTGAAAACATGCTGAGATGGCTACAAGAATTCACAGCATGACAGCCAGCGAGATCATGCTGCGGAAGTCGGAATCATTCCAGTTGATAGCTGAGCCTGCAGTTGCTAAGTACAGGAGCCTCACCATGTCATGTACCGCTGCAATCTGCTGGAGCTGCAATGAGTGCTACGCAATGAATCACCAGTCTTCCTGCACGTGATGTCAGCAACGGTCATATTCCGAATATTCAGGCATTTTCGGGTCGGTGTACTAAGAGTCGTTCTTATTGTGCATCATCCAACATCGCGAAGTGCAACAGTCAGCTTTCATTCGCATCGTTATTCGTGCAGGTCGTAAATACCCCGAGGTGAGGACGCTGGCGGTGGTGATAATGATGGTGACAGCCACAATAACAGGATGCGGATGAATTGAAGGCTGCTGCTGATGACCAAGATAATGCTGACTGCAATCAACATTGGGATGGCAACCTTACGCCTGCGCGGAGTACGCAGGCACAGGCGCATTAAGGAAGCGGACCCAGGGTGAAGAAGAACTTCTGAGCCATGTCAGCAACATGCAACATCCCATGAACCGTGACCCTGTGCTAAGAACACCTTGAGCGATGCGGGCCCTTGGTTCGGATGGAATGAAATGAGCTTCAAGGCAGCAGCTGGCAGCAGTGGACGACGTGTGTTTTGTCAGATGCGTGGTGGCTGCGTGAGAACACATGTGACATCGAGAAGAAGCGAAATCTCTCGCCCGCTGAGCTATCTGAGTTTGGGGACAAGTCGCGTGCCCATGGAGCGACCCGTAAACCAAACCTCAGCTCTGCTGTGTGCCCCGTGACCAGAACAATATCAGAAATATCCGCAGCGTGCGATTGCGCAAGCTCACGAAACCAATGAAGTTGAGAGCCCATCTGCATGCAAACACAGGCAGAAACTCCTCACTTTGTACTGTGCGTTAGCCAGCCACGCCTGGCAGAATTCATGCCCTATACTTGCACAGTCAAACATTCACTGCGACCTGGCTGGTCTTGCTTTGTACTTGCTAGACAGTGCAGTACTTGGCACTGACCGCCTTGTGCACTCAACATCAGAGTCACTGCACACCACGAAGGACAGGGTGCGTGCAGGCATTATTTGGCCCAAGCAGAAAAGAAAAACAAGACAGTAAGCCTGTTTAATGAGTACATATGAGTTTAGGACTAAATCTTTTGCATTTTGCGGACACCATTGGCCCCTGTTAGTTTTCGCCAAGCATTTGCAAATTTGAATCTCATGACCTGCCTAGACCTAGACATTTTGCCTCTTCCATAGACTTGGTCCGACACCCGTAGTATATATATGGTCACGCCCCGGCGGGCTCCCCCCCTCCCCTCCCCCCCCCATGGTATGGTC